CTTTGTTCATAAACTCTTGTCGCTTCTGATATGGTTGTAAATTTTTATTGCATATTTAGATTTTAGACATTGCAGAGATTAATACTTTTCTAATTATTTACTAAATTCTTTGTTTCTCATTCCAGTATTTATGATTCTTGTTTTATTGTATTAAAATGTTGATTTTATACTAAAATTATTTTCAAATGAATTTCTATCAAAGTGGAACAAAAAGAAATAGCTGATTTAAAATGACGAACAATCTTTTTCAAATTCCAATTTCAATGGGTTTTGTTTGTTATGTCATGCCATGCTGTTTCATTTTTGCTTTTTGGCAGTATTGAATTTTACTCTTTTCCAACTATTATTTCTCGTTTCATTGGTTTTTCTAATCAGGAATTAATGGCACATCAGTATTTTCTTGTTGGAAATATTAACTGTTGGATAGCTTAAAGCACACTGTTCGTTTATGTTGCTTGATGTTAAGTATTGGGTTAAACCATGTGTCCCAAAACCTTATGTGTATACATATTTTGCTCTAGTCATAACACTTCAAAAGCACAATTCACAATCCCAACAGGTACCAGCTATCTCTCTTGCTTATGAAACTGCTGAAAGTGACATCATGAAGCGTCAACCTCGAGATCCCAAAAAGGACAAATTGGTAAATGAACGGTAAGTTGAGAGGGTGTGATTTAAGGGATTAAGACCTTCATTATGGATTCATATTGTTTATGAAATGGGGCTTCTTAACAGTCATTATTCGATCATCTTCTTTTAATTTCCTTCTCTTTATCATTCTGAAACCTATCTATAATTTCTTTAATTTATGGTTGTATGGATATAATTTAAGCCTTGAAATATTTCAATTCTCTCTTCTTGTTTATTTTATTTCTATAAAGTGGTTCAAGATTTTATATAAATTTTGTGACAGGAATCTATATGTGGACATTTTATAAATTAGTATGTCTTCTGTAATAATATATATGTCTATTAAAAGTAAATTTTAGTGTTTAAAATTCCCAATTTTGAAATTATTTTTAATACAATTTACAGTTTTGTGAAAGTATTTTTAATTTTTTAAAAACTATGCGATATTTTAGGTTTGATTTTTTTAAAGCTTTTTTTTTTTCTTTAGTTTGTTAGTAAATTAATCATTAATAAAATGTAAAATATTGAATTGATATAATTTTAAATACCATAATTTCCTGCTTATCTATAGCACCATATAATTTACAGGCATAAGTTTTGTTCTGAGAATATAAAAAAATGTCTTATAATCTGTAGGTGATTTACACTTTTTTAAAAAATACCATATACTAGTTAAGTTTAGTTTTTATGCCTATGACGCTAAAGTAACAAACCAATATTTTATAACATTTTTCTTGTTTAAAAGATTGTTTTTATTGGCTCCAGATGTATAAAAAGAATTATAATATAAATTTAAAATAGTTGAAACCTAAAAGATATGCATTTAAGAACTAGAATAAAACAAACCTTTTTCCTGCGAGTGATCTTGATCAATCTTTTTAATTTGAGCTTTAAAGCATTTTCAATTCATATCTATTACTTCATTCGTAACCTACCATTATTATGAATGGCCAAGTCTTGCCTTACGAAAAACATGCTAAGTTCTTGGAATTTACTACAAAGCAAGAGTTTCTTAGTAATGAACACATCCAAGTTCTGAAAGCAAGATGCAGGAGGAGGCTAAATATTCTAAAATATATTTCTGGGCAAGATTGGGATGCAGATGTCCCAACTCTGAAACTAACTTACACCTACCTTTTTATACCAATTCTGGAATATAATTCTCCTATCTATTTTTGTGCTTCAGATTCTAATCTTAATAGGTTGGAAAGAGTTCAAATAAATGCAATGTAAATTATTTCTGGCTTGAGGTATAACTGCCTTAATGATATTGTTCTTTTTGAGTATGACTTCCAGTCTTAGACTCAAAAAAGGAAATCTTGTTTTGTGAAATATTATAGTAAACTTCTCAGTTATAAGGACCAAAATAGAACCTCCTCTTATCTCAAGAACCTAGACAATAACCAAAGACTGAAGAAAAACTTTACTTTACCTTACCTTAAACAGTACCTTTCCTCAAGCAACTTTGCAAAACATTATAACTTTGCTATTTCCTTACCAGATTGAACCTCCTCTGAGACCATGCTTTAGCCCTGTCAGTGGCTTTATGGGCATCTACTTTCACACTGAGCTTTTGAACCTAGTTTACAAAAATGTTTACATGAATTCATGAGACAGATGGCTTTAACTATCAATCAAATGCCTAAAGATGGGTTCAAATTTATACAGATGGCAGCAATAATGGCCAAGGCTATTCTGGTAGTTGTATCTTAGGACTCTTACTGTTATATTTAGACTTAAAAATAGAAATTCTAATTTCTGCTTTGTGTTCAGATCCAAACTAATCGCTATCAAGAGATGCTTGAGCTATGTAGAGAATATTGTTCAGCCTGATTTTGTGGATATATGGATACTTATTAACAGCCGATCCTCAGTTCAACATCTAACTGGACAAACTTTGGAGACAAGTCTGGCATTTCCATACCAAAATTGCTTTTTAGACTTTCAGTTAATTCTGAGGTGCGCATCCAATTGATTCCTTCATATGTCAGCATTAGTGACAACGATGTTGCAGATTCTCTAGCTAAGTTATTTCTTCAGAGACTTCCCAGTTCGGTATACTTTTTAGTTATAGTGAGGTGTTCTTCGAATTTAGGAAGACAATTAAGGATCTCTGGAATGTCCCTCCGGCACATGACTGTGGTACTAAAGAGATCGTCCTGGTGATGACCTGCTTTTGGGGGGACACAGAACCCAACAAACTTATTTATCACGTTTTGCCAGTGGGCACTTGAGGAGTCTCACCAATGAACAAGGGTGAATGATTTTTAGGACTTGCATCAAGTGTAGAACTGCTCAATCATCAACCGCTTATATTTTAAACTGTCTTGAGTTTTCATTGGATGAGGTTTTTTCTGAACTTCTTCTATTCTAGGACTTTTTAGAGGTTTATGGACTTATGGATTTGGTCTAATAGCCAGACCATATCAGGAATTAAACAATAACATTTCAATCTATTTTTCAACCCTTAGCACCACGTATGTATTACTCACTTAGTATTTTGTTTAATTTCACAAAAATCTGTATCTTTCTATCATCTACAACTGTTAAGATTAATTTTCTATCGCACAAAGTTCTGTCAATTTTTGCAAAAACTATTTTCATATGGGGCTTTTATTGAATATTTTTTTTAAATGAAAATTTAGAAAAAAGATTACAGATTGTACATAGTATCTATCCTATATAAACTATTTCCTTAAAATTTAAGGCAGAAAATTATAATGAAGTCAATAAAAGATATTAGTTCATAATACAGATTTTAAAAGGCTTTCTTGACTTGCCAATGCACTTCTAGAGTTTATAATTGAATAATTCAATTTAAAATTAATAAATCACTCTACAAAATATATTGTTGTTTCATATATAAATAACGAAACTTTTGCAAGATATTAAACAACATAAAACTGCTTGTGAACTTTTGAATCTTTGTTAACTTAATTTTGTTTCTATTTTTACTTGATAAGCTTTTAAGAATCATAAACTTCATTGTAACTCCATCTAACTTTTGTAAAATATTTCATAGGTTAATATCCATGTCCTATGGTCAGATAGGTATGATGCAAGCTGCTGCTGGATTTTTTGCATATTTTGTAATTATGAGTGAAAATGGATTCTGGCCTGGCAGGTTATTGGGACTTCGAAAGGAATGGGATTCAGCAGCTGTTAATGACCTCAAAGATTCTTATAATCAAGAATGGGTATATTTAATCTTCCTTTTAATTATATTAATTATTTAAAATTTCTCAATTTATTGTCTAAATTGTAATATAATAAACAATTGGATAACTTTCTCATTATGTTTTCATAAATATATTAATCTATTTTATTAATATATTTTAATTTTCCATTAGACCTTCAAGGACAGGAAAACCTTGGAATATACTTGTCATACTGCTTTCTTTGTTTCCATTGTTATTGTTCAATGGGCAGATTTGATAATCTGTAAAACTAGAAGAAATTCCATACTTCATCAAGGAATGAGGTAAGGTGATTTATTAAACTTAAATTGAATATTTAAGTAGTTTTAAACTTTAATTGTAAGGTTTTTAAAATATTATTTTATAGTTATATGGAAGTAAAATTAATTTAACTTACATAAAAGTAAAGCATATCTTATATAATTTAATAGTTTGATAAATTTATTGATGTAACTTAATAGTTTTTTATTTTTCCTCAATTCAATTTCCTATTCCTTTAGTTATTAGATTTTCTTCCGTTTTAATTGGCAAAAGTTATGCGAGAAATATGAAATATATACAAAGAAATGTTGACAACACTCTGCTTCTTTTATTTTGAATAGGCTAATTTTTAATTATTTTTTAAATGTAATTGCATTAAATAGAGGGGGAATGCTGAATTTTAAAAAACAAAATAGCTGCTTTAAAGTTTTGGAGAAAGTTTCTATAATTTTATATCTTAGCTAACTGTGTTGTTGACTTATTAAGTATTATGGACATAGCATTATGTATTTGTTTTTCAAAATATTGCAGGAATAAAGGAAACAATGAAAAAAAATTTGTTGTTCAATTATTAAAATTTTGCAATACTGTAATTGTAATCTTAAAAGCATTATTCCCCCCACATATGCCAAAACTTAATTCAGCAATATATAACTCATGTTTAACATATTTATACTATCATTTTGTATTCCTTCTGAATAAGTTTCAAAATTCATTTTATTGCTGAATATAAAATGAGCTAACGAATCTAAATTGACTGTGATCATGTTCATCACAAAAAATAAGAATTTTTGATAATTTGTAAAATTAGAGCTTACAGATCTATCATGACAATTTGTAAATAATCATAAATTAAAATGTGAAAAAATTATCTAGGAATTTATTATGTCTAGTAAATTGTTATTTGTGCCAATGGCCATACCATGCTGAATATACCGGTTCTTGTTAGATCACCGAAGTCAAGCATCATTGGGCGTGGTCAGTACTTGGGTGGGTGACCACCTGGGAACACCGTGTGCCGTTGGCATTCCCAAATTTGGGACCTGGATGACGGAGTGTCTGGCGCTCGGTGCCACAGGTTTCGGGTTCGAATCCCGGCGGTGCTATGGATGTTTGTAGTGGTTCGGAATCCACTTTAAGTTGTAGATCCTGGTCTCTTATGACTGTAAGAACGTTACGGAGCAGAAGTCAGACTTCTACCTACAGGTGCTCCATCAGAACAGAAGCTGCATCCCTCTCCCCTCCTTTCATGAGGGACGCGACAACAACAATTGTTATTTGTTTTCTTTCATTCACCGCCAATTGCCAAACATACTATAATGAAAAATACTAATTATTTTGTTCTTGATTTATTTTATGTTACATAATTATGCTTATAATCGCAACTTTCTTTTTTTAGGAATCATGTCTTAAACTTTGGGTTGGTATTTGAAACTGCTCTTGCTGCCTTCTTGGCTTATACGCCAGGAATGGATAAAGGTCTTAGAATGTATCCACTTAAGTAAGTAGTATTTTGTAATAGATACTTCTTGTGATTCAACTAACTGCTAAAAAGTTATGAAAAATTACAATGTAATTTGAATGATACTATTCTGAAATAATGTAAATATAACATTGTATAAAAAGTAAAGGTTTCTAGATATTGTTAATTTTTATAATTAAATTATTTGTTTATCTCTTTTCCTTTTTTATACTCTCTTGTTTCTTAATTGTCCTCTCCCCATATTTATTGGTTAACTAATTATTTAATTAATTTCTTTAAACAACAATTAAAAATTTATTAGTCATTGTACATGTATGGATATTTTAAATTTAATTTTCATTACAATGACAGTTTTTTATCACGATAACTGTCATTTCATTAACTTTTTACTTGAAAATTCGTGTTATCTTTATTTTTAAAAAAAGGGGGAAATGTGATTGTTTGTGGGATTGTAAAAGCAAAAGCTAAATATCTTTTTAATTTAAAACTAATAAAATTAAATGCCATAATTTTCCTGTCTATAATTTGCTTTTGGAGTTAATATCTTAAACTAGCATAACATGACACAGCCAATCAATTGGGGCAAAAATTTTCATTATCTTTCAGACAAATTTTAAAATACATTTTTTTTTTTTTTTAATTTTATTGTGCTTCCTTCCCTTCTTGATTAACTCATAAACCCACTTCATTATTTTCATTTAATCAATTGTTCAGTGTACAATGTTCTATAAACTATTCACACTAGAGTAACTTTTATAAAGTTTATTAAAATTGGTTACTTTTTTTATGAATTTTAAATCATCAGTGATTAGAGATATTAGAATTTTTGTTAAACAATCAAGAAACTTGATAGATTCTCAATTACCATTCATATTTGTTGTTAATTTGAATTATTAAAATAGATGCAATAGTATACTTTAAGATGCATTTTGTAAGGGTTTCTTCTGAATTGATTTGAAATGAAACCAGCTAGCTGCTGCATCTCTTAAATTGTTTACTTAAAAATGTGTAATGGAAATGAAGTCTCATCAAAAAAAGATATTTGGTTTAGTTTATTTAATTTTTACAATCAAATAGGCCAATTGTAATTTGGTACAATCTTTTATCGAATTTCGTCTTTTGTTCCTCCATCTCATGTTATGTTATTTAAGAAAGAAAATCTGGCATGAAAAACATCATGTTATTATTATAGCACAAGTTATATATAATGCTTAAAATTTAGATCAGTATTTGTACTAATTAGATGTTTTTTAATTATTTTTAGATTCAATTGGTGGCTGCCAGCTTTACCTTTTTCACTTTTAATATTTGTTTATGATGAAATTCGTCGGTACATCCTACGTAGGAATCCAGGTGGCTGGGTTGAAAGAGAGACCTATTATTGACCTGCTTACTACTGTGTTAAGGACATTTTCACAGATTTCTCGTTTCAATTTTGTGTTCATGGGGGAAAGGGAGCTGAGAGATCCTGCCCAATCACAGGTGCAAAGCTCTTATAAACCTGTGGGTTTACGAGAAATTGTGTGCAAGGACTATGCAAGGGTCTTTTGTGATGTGTTATGTGTTGAACAGTTTCGAGAAAATTGTAAATGTACCTTAACTATTTTGAATAGTAGGGAAAAAAACATATTATAGAAAATCTATTCAATCATATGAAATTAATATTTGTGAACATTTTACTACTTGTAACATTTTATCTGCATTACATGAACATATGAGTTTGAGGGAAAAAAATTGCTTTTCAATCTATTGATGATGCTGCCAAATTATACTGTAGATCTTGAGTGCATTTTATAATTTTTTTCTCTTATTTTGTATTTTTTTTTGTTTTTTTTATTTTAATTCATATATTGTGTAGAATAACCATTTCAACATCTTATATGACGTGGGTTAGTTATTTGTAAAGTTTGTTGAAATATATTGATTGATAGGCTCTTGTCAAAAAAGTTGTGCAGCTTCTTTGCCACTTATAATCTGGCTTTACAATTATACATATTTTCAAATTTACAATTCTAATTAGTCAAGATATTTTTTATCTTTTTACATCTACTATATGTATACATACTGTACTGGCTCAAAAAGAAACAAAAATAAAATCCACATATGCAGTTTTCCTTGCTTTGGAAAAAAAAATCTATATATATATATGCTTCAATTTTAAGGATATAAAATATCGAGAACAAAAATATGCACAAAAATGCAGTTATTATAGCTTTGCTGATTTGGGAACACAATTTATAAATTTTCTGAATCCTTTACACTTAAGTAGTTAATTGAGAAATTTCTCTACTTTATATTCCATATTGAATTTTGAAAATTATCTTTTACTTAAAAATTAAAAGAAAAGAAATTGCACTTTTAACTCTCTTCCAATAAATATGTAGAGATGATTCAAGTCTTATTATACAAGTGTAAATTATAACAGAAATTTATGGGAACAAAAAAAAAAAAATCTACTATTGAATATGTACATTGCTTTTAAAGTTGTCCTATTGCTTTTACTTATTGTAGTTAATTAATCTTTGCTTCAATAGAATATTGGGTGGTATTTTTCATTACTGTTGAATGTTATGAAAGCTTATTTTTGAATAATTATTTATGTTTAATCTATGAAAATTGTTTAAATCTTCATAACTGAAATTTGCATTCACCATATTAAATACCACCCCATAGGCAATCTATATGTTAAGACTAGCTAATTGAAATCGCTCAGCATGCAGATTAGCTTCATTAACACATTCATGTCATTGATGTGATTTATTTGTGTTTGTATGGTTTTTTTTAATGATCATTTATATATGTCTCGATAAAGTTGCTGTAAAACTTCATAATAAGTTTTCTAAATACTAACTAGCCTTAACAATTTCAAATTTATTTCATTTTATCATATGTACTGCACTTTGATTTGATCCAGAGAAGAATCAAAATTAGAAACTCCGTGACATGAGTCAATGCATGTGCTACAGGTGTGATTTGTTCGGAAAATAAAAGAAGCAATAGTTTTGAGAATGATTAGAACTTAAAATTCAATCATTCCATGAATGATTTTGATGAAAATCACTGCACCACCAGAAGTTCTATAAAAATTCATCAGAAGACACTCTGGGAAATTATTTAAATGTGTTCAGTAAAATTAGCTTAAAATATTTCTAATTTGTTTATTATAATCTATTGTAAGAATTGTTTTAGGGGTATATCTGAATTAGAGAAAGAAGCTCACTTAATTTACTTTTTACCCTTGAAGTATATCTTGGGCTCTGCAATCACTTCATTTTTTTTTTTTTTTTTTTTTTTCTTTTCATTATTCAAATGTAGGTCCAATGATACAATGTGGTAGGTAGGTCAGTGATACATCAGCATATAACATCGCTCTATGCAGAAGACAGGGCTGAAATCAATTGTCAGATTTCATTTCTATTGTTATTGATATATAATATTCAAATTTCTTTAAAGCTGTTATCATTTATTTGTGTGATTATGATAATTTTATTTAAAAAAATTTTTTATTCTTGGTTTAAAAATGGATGGGTTATTTTTATCTTTATATTTTATGTAGTTTTGTTGGTGTAAATTTTTCATATATCATTTCTTTATACTGAAAATAATTATGAATGTCTGTTTATGTTTTGAAAAGTTTTTTTTTAGATGAGTCTCACGAAAACAAAGAATGTATTTTTTAAGAATATCATCAAGTTTTGTGTCTGAAAGTTATAAGGTGTATTCTTTGCTCAGAAATATTGAGGTTGAGAGCCTTGTATTGTTTTTCTTTGTTAATACTTTTACAACAAGTTGCATTTCTGATGAATTTTAATAAAGTGTGTGCACTGAACAGTTAAATGTATCTTTTTCTTCATGTTCAATTACCTAAAACACTTTTGAAAAAAAAAAAATTTTTTTTAAACTGTTTAAAATATCATATATAGGTAAACCACATTAACATTGAAGATCACTGGGAAAAGATTTCAAATACAAAAATAAAAATGCAGAGTCGGAGATGTAGAGACAAGGAAAGTACATAATGGTCATGCACATCATTCCTTCATTAAAATTTTCACATACTTAATCTTTTGTATAGGGTTATCATTCATTGCAAAGTAATTGCTTTCTAATAGGCACTACAGATCTCTTATGTATGCACTACACACATTCAGAAACCAAATCACAGACAGGAACTTACATAGATGGGATAAATGATTCAGTTTGCTTTAACATTATGTACTATGAAGTTGTACACTATTGACATTTTACCTATTGATACCTCTGTCTTCTTATTCATGGAATTTGGGAGTGTACATACTCTGTGACAGTAATACTGTCCACAGTTTTTTTTTTAACATTGGTGGGCATTGTTTTTGAAAGCAGTGATAAGCGGATTCAAGCCTGTGCCATCTCTCTAGTCACAAGTCGGGCTGCCCCACAGTTTAGAAATTAATTGGCTATATGATGTATTAAATATTTGTATTAAGACTTTTTAAAAATTAATGAATTTATTTGTGGAATTTATTTTGGAGAAGAAGGATTACCTTTTAAAACTAAAAGT